TTACTGGTGCGATGATGGCTTGGTTGTTATGCCATCACCATTTTTGGTTTCTGATTGGATCTGAAGCCTACTACTCTATGGGATGGAGAACCGTGGACCTGGCTGAAGGACTCTGGCTGGGAAAGTCACGGGCCTTAGCAGACAACCACTACCCCGTAAGTACATACGTTGTCAGAATGCTTCCCAAATATTTATATTCACTATATTCACACTCATAGACTGTCCTCAGCCTTGCTCAGAAAAGCTTCTCTTTGCAGTAAATTGTGGTTAACGCGAAGATTTGTGGCTGGTAAAGTGATGAGCACCAGTGATTGCTAAGTGCTCAGCCTTAAGTGGGACACCCACACAGCCTCTCCAATGTGCAGGGAAAGACGCAGTGGAAAGACTACAAAGGCCAGCTGCTGTGAGTGGGGGGGATGAAAGGGTGCCTGAGGAGCAGGGTGGGGCTTGCTTGTGAACTCACAGCAGCTGCAGTGGACTGCAGGCAGCCTATAAGACTGAGTGAGTTCTTAGACCTTAAGTCATGGGGTTGGGAGGGGGGTGGTGTCTTATGAGGTCCCACCTACCTCACCCAGGGTGGTGGTGAAGCCATTGTCTTTAGAGATGTAGCTACAGGCTGGCAAGTTACTTGTGGTTAGGGGAATAGCTTCACACCCATGCTCACAGGAGTGGCCCTAGTTATATGTCACAGAACAAGACCAAAAGGTCTTGAAAGGGGAGGGGTGCTGGCAGGAGGAGGAGTGTTGTGATTATTATTATTATTATTATTATTATTATTATTATTATTATTGGGGCTGCTACACTCCCTTGTTGCCTGTAAATATGTTAGGGGTTTCTAACCCACTTCAGATCATTTTAGTTCCCAAATAAAAGACACAGAAACTGTTAGATTCATAGTAAGCTTAAAAGCATCAGAGCTGGGCAGATATCAATGCTATGCTACTTAATTTATTTCTTTGTGGTGATCCCCAAGATATCACTTGCCATGTTCTGCCTGGGCCACTCCTACTCCATCAGACCAGCCCTCATGGCCGAGGGCTCCTGAGGTGACTTCCTTCCTTCTTCTTTCTCGACTCTTCCTCAATCTCCTGTGGTCCCTGCCTGAGACCCCAAGCTTAGGAACCTTTGCTCTGCCTCCCTCTCTTCTGCCCAGTCCATCTTTAGTAACCCATCAGTGATAACTTGGGGGGCAAGGTTTACACAACAAAAGCTGGTGTAGGAGAATTCACTAGTCTTGGGGCAACCAGATCTTGGGATACGGTAGTTAGTGTTTGATACATAGCAGCACCAGACCAAACCCCTAGAGAGGAGAGGGGATGTGAGGGATGAGTGTGACTAGGGTGTGTTATATATATGTATGAAATGGTCAAAAAGTAAACAATTTTATTTTTTATTTTTTTTTTTTTTTTGGTTTTTTGAGACAGGGTTTCTCTGTGTAGTCCTGGCTGTCCTGGAACTTACTCTGTAGACCAGGCTGGCCTCGAACTCAGAAATCCGCCTGCCTCTGCCTCCCAAGTGCTGGGATTAAAGGCGTGCGCCACCACAGCCCGGCTAGTAAACAATTTTATAAAAATGAGTTTGGCAGCTTCTTAAAAGTTAAACACAAACTGAGCAGTGCTGGTGCATGCTCTTGGGAGACAGAGGTAGGTGGATCTCTGAGTTCAAGGCCAGCCTGGTCTACAGAGAGAGTTCCAGGAAAGCCAGGGCTACACAGAAAAAGAAACCTTGCTTTGAGAAGCCAAACCAAATCAACCAACCAAAGAAACAAAATTATACCTACACGAAGGATAATGGTCTAGTCATTCCAGTTCTAGGAGTGGAGATAAAACCGCTTGCAAACCTTATGCACGATAGCTGCATTATTTCTAGGAGCACCCGAGGGAAATGACTAGATATTTGACCACGAGACAAGCAGATAAACTCTCACACTCCCAGTATGAGATAAAATAAAATAACTCAGCCAGGGTAGAATATGGTTTGGTAGTTTCTTACAAAGTTAAACCCTTTGTATGGTTCAGCAATTACATTCCTATGTATTTAAACAAACAAACAAACAAACAAACAGCCCTTAAGTTTCATATGAAAATCTGTACTTAGCTGGGCGGTGGTGGTGCATGCCTTTAATCCCAGCACTTGGGAGGCAGAGGCAGGCGGATTTCTGAGTTCGAGAGTTCGAGGCTAGCCTGGTCTACAGAGTGAGTTCCAGGACAGCCAGGGCTACACAGAGAAACCCTGTCTTGAAAAAAACAAACAAACAAACAAAAACCCCGAAAATCTGTACTTACATATGGCCCATTGTATTAGTAATTCCCCCAAACCAGAGACCACTCAAGGGCACCTCAGTGGATCAATGGATAACTATAAAAATTACCCCAAGTACTTGGGCTGGAGAAATGGCTCAGAGGATAAAAGAACTAGCTGCTCTTCCAGAGGTCCTGAGTTCAATTCCCAGCAACCACACAGTGGCTTACAACCATCTATCATGAGATCTGGTGCCCTCTTCTGGCCTGCAGGTATACATGCTGGCAGAATGCTGTATACATAATAAATAAATCTAAAGAAACATTACCAAGTACTGATATGTACAACATGGATGAAGCTCAAGTGCATTATGGGAAGTGAAAGAAATCAGAAAAAAAACCCCACACGATCTGATTATACTTCTATGATATTGTTTAAAATGCAGGAATGCATTGGAAACAAGTGATGTAAATTTTGCACTTCAGTAGAAAGGAAAGCATCTGTCATCGGACAGATCAACTGTGCTCATCTACTTATTGTGGTTCCTACACGGTGAGCCGAGCAAAGCCATTTGTATTTAGCCAGTAATTTACAAATTCTTACTGCTGTACAACCATACCCACGGGAGCAGGTCTGGTTAAACCCAGTATGTCACAAAGCAACCTTCTGCCCCAAATGAGACGGAAGTAGGGGTGGGGAGCTGGTGGGAGGAGAGCGGGTGGAGGGTTCGAGGATGAGGCTGAGCCACTGGGCTCTTAGAAAGGACTTCCTGTTCTCTCGGTGGCTCTTTTCTCTCTTTTTCTAGAAAGGAGAATTACACAATAATGGAGCCAAGGGCATAGCCTCACCTAAAACCTTATTTTCCTCTTCTAGTCAAGTCTATGGAAATCACTGTCTGGATGATACCAGGATCTGCACAAGCCTTTCCCAGTCTCTCTAACATGAACACAGGTAGACCTAAATGTTGCCTACAGCATAGCTGTCTGCAGAGATACAGGACAGATTTTGAGTGTAGCTTTCAGTATTCACACATTTCCCCCCCCCATTCATCAATGTAGGGGGAGCAAGAAATCAGAAGAGAAATGGGGAAGGTCTGGGAATCACTTCTCTCTATACTACTATATAGTCCAGCTGTGTTTGTGGATATTTCAAGGAGCCTTGAATTCTAAAACTCAGCCCGGCTTTCTATGTTACTGTGAGAGTGTGTGTCAACCCAGGAACTAGGAAATTTCACAGTTTGTTACTTGTTATATGACTTTCAAATAGCTAATAGTCTATAAGTCTGGTGTGTACGCTTACTTCTGGCCTGCAAGTGTTAGGGGCAGGTCCAATGCAGGGAATAAGAAAAGTAGGAGACCTGATTTCACAGCCATACCAAGCAAGCTTATAAACCTCCTTTCAAGGAGCCGCTTGCAGAGCTTCTTCAAGGGGCTCTGGGCCTTCTCACTTGCTCTCTGAAGCTCCGCTCCCACTCTTTCACCATGCTTGGCAACTTCCACCGTAAAAAGCACAGCCTTCACTTTTCCTCTCCTTCATCTCTCTGTTCCTGGAAGCTACGGAGATTTACACTTTGCCCTGTTGTTTTTCTTTCAACTGCTTAGTAAAATCACCCCTCCAGTTTCAATCTGCAACTGTTTCTAAATTCTTTTACTAACCCACAATAGGAAGCCTTGACGTCCTCGGTAACAAGTTAGGGAATTAAGAAAGCGTGCCAGATGAGGGAGGACCCTGTACTGTGTACTATTGTACAGTTGACATGGTCCAGGTCCCTGCAGGGATCAGTGGGGCGTAGCTCAGCTGGCTAGAGAGGCGTCACTGAAAGGTCCTGGCTGACAGGATTTCAGAGAAGACTGGGAACTCACGCAACCCCATCCTTAGAAAAGCACCTCTAGGGGTTTCCCTAAGAGAGTGGGGTGACATGCCTGAGGCTGTGTTTCAGCAGGATGCTCCAACACTAGCCGTCAGAGTCATTGCTGGAATAACATCATAAGGGATGGGGGTAAAAGATAGGAGACGAGAGAAGCAAACAGAAAGACAGGGGAGGGGTAATGAGGGAGGAAAGGGGGAGCAACGGTGAAAAGAAGAAAATCACTAAATAAGTAGGGCTCCAGCTTCAAGCTCCGCAGAACCAACGACCACTGACCTCCCTTTGCCTGTACTTTGATCGTGTGTGGAGCTTTTAGGATTTCCTCGGGAATCATTTGGTTTTCAACAATCTTAATAGAAAACTAACACTCTCTCTCTCTCTCTCTCTCCTCTCTCTCTCTCTCTCTCTCTCTCTCTCTCTCTCTCTCTCTCTCTC